TTACCACTTGTTGACTTGGAAAATATTATTTTTTCATTTATCAAAAATGGATAATTTTTTAAAAAATTAAGAAAATGAATAAGTGATGCTGCAAACAAGATTCAACCATTAAACTATTCAAGCAAATTGCACCAAAAATAATATTAAAACTCTTTTCCAGTAAATGGATGACAAACTCGCTGAGAACATCTCAAACGCCTTCTGGAAGTGCTCTTCCAGTAATATCATAGCATGTTACATCAAAGCTCACAATTTACACTCTACTTCCTTCTCATACATGTGCCATTAAGCAATCCCACTTCCCGATCATCAAAGTGATAATGACTCTCTCAGAGATACACCTGTTTATTTAGTGAACTTGTTTCGACAGTACAATGCAGCAGTGCAAACAAGAACACCCCCAATAAGAAATGAAGACCTCCCTATTTGATGTAATAAACTGCCACTAGTGTAAGCCCATATCCATCGTGATAAAAAATGCAGGCCACAGGTATTTTTGAACTTCTGGATTGAAAAATCCTAAAGTAGATACATGTTCTGTCAGTTCCATGAAAGAATTACAGCCAATCTCACAAGTCATTATCCTCTGTTATTATAAAAGGGATAATTTGCATAGAGTTCCCGTTATCTAGGCTATTTCAACGCAAACAACGACTTGGAGGATAGAGTCTTTTTTTTTTTTTTCAAACAAATGCAATTGAAGTAACTGATCGGCAGTCACCCAGCCAATCAGTGCAGCTCTTCATGATTATAGTTTACCCACATTGTCAACAAATGTAACCAAACTGGAATTGTATGTTTCCAGAGAGAAATCCTGCACATTCTCACAAAATTGTCTAAGTTTCATTCAATGTGGAACACTTTTCAAATTATGTTTAACAATTTTCTCAAGACAAGTGGTAAAACTGCAATTCAATGAATTATGCACTATTCTGCCACCCAAACTAATCAATCACATAAGAACAAAAAAGTAAATATTGATATGCAAGAGGAAAGTAATTAATGCCAAAGTTAGAAGCAGTTAAATCTGATTTCCCTAACTAAAATCCAACATTCTAGAAAAACATTATCCACCATCACATCACATGCATATCAAACCTGTCACCCAGTCTCTTTGATTTTCTTTTGTAAGAAAGTTTTTTTGTTTCCAGAATATATTGTTAGGATCAGCTCAATGCTAGGAAGTATAGGGTATAATAGTAAACCAAACAAATGAAATGACTGACTTGCATTCTACCCTAATATAATGCAATACATTGTAATAAACAAATGCTATGCATTTTGAAAAACTTCAAGAGACTAATATGAACATAAATTCGCTGATGCATAAAAAAAGGGAAAATGTTCATTCGTTTTATAAAGAAAATTAGAAAGGAAAAAGGTGCAACGACATAGGAAAAGGCACATATGAGACGAGAATGTGTGAGCAAGAAAGAGAAAATAACTCCGAGCATGATATAGGAATATGCTCCCATTCCCCAGCTAATACTCTACGAAGTTGTGTACCAATTCAAATTTAATTTAATTTTTTATTTTGAAAAAACTCCAGTGTCATGTGTTCCTGTTAGTATTACTTTTTGATGTAGAGAAAAACAGCAGAGCACGGAAGCAACCTAATGGAGTTTTTTTTTTGTACAGCATAAGCTAATATTTTTATTCAATAAGACTCAATATGTATTCACACTTAAATAACAGAATAAAAGATCATGCTGCACAACGGGGCAGAGCTAAAATATTTCAAGTGGGGGTAGCTGAAGATATAAAATATTATCAATGAGGACTTTCTTTATCTTTTATGGTTGAAATTATGTTAACAATAACCATTTTATAAATTTAGAACCCTTATAATAATCCAATACATATGATCATATATACAATTTTTTATGTAAAATATTGATTAAAAAAAAGGAAATCAAACTTCATAATTACGTAGCCAATTACCCACAAATTTTACAAATTCAAACATGTTTGTTCATTTGTAAAAGTAATTTTTATTGGACTATCATCAACACAACTAGGAAAAATTTGCAAAGTGAACTACAATACTTATACATGTCAAGAAATGATCACCTCATAAAATTGATGTGTAAATATTAAGTAACATAAAGACGTTAGTGAGCTATTATTAGTTCATAGTTGTTTGCTACGAGCCCATAAATAAAGTAGGTTGTTGTATTCTAGATACTGAACCAATAGACTGAATTTAGACACATTGAAATGATAGTCAAATGCTGTGAATAGTTTCTTTGACCTTCTGTTTCTCTCATTTTCTCTCTATTCAGGTCTCCCTATTCTCCTCTTCTTGCCCTGTCTTTATGTTTCTTTCATCTTTCCCATCTAAATTCTATATCATAAAAATAGAGAGTTGAACTACAAATTAATTTAGTAGTCAAAAGTTTTGTATAACCATCAACTTTTTTTCTTAATGTAACTTTTTTATATTATAATTGTACTATCTCTAAAGTGCATTATATATAGATGTCACAATGGGTAACTCGGCTCGACTCAATCTGATTCACCACGGGTTGGTCACTTAGTGAGCCAACTCAACCCGACTCTTTTATTAACAAGCTGAAAAAAATTGAATCTAGCCCGACCCACCACAGGTTGGTGGTTAAACGGNATGATATATGCATTTACTAGAGAATTTTGTTGGTTCTTGGTTTAGAACTATGATTCTTATCAAAGATTATCATCTTTGTAACGAATCTTTTTTGACTTATCAATGTGCTAAATTGTGGCTTCCCAGTCTTATTCCGTGTTCTTCTCGAATCATTTTTATTGTGTTTATTGAGAATTAAATTGTATTTTAACTAAATATAAAATTTATTGAATGTTATCTAGTATCAAATTGTTTGGATCGCTCGTAAATTTGGTTAGATATAGAACAAAAAAAAATAAAGAAGGTATATGTGTGAAAATCCAAGGTATAATTATTAGACTCCAAGAACAATATGATGAATATTTATAATAAATGTAATAGTTTGTTAATTATGTTGTATTATGTGTATTATCGATAAAGATAGTTATTATAAAAGTTGACAAATTTATTATATACAGTAGTTTTAAATGACAAGCAGTATAAAGCCATTTCCACTATTGTATATACGTTGGGAACAAGAGTTTATTTGTTACGGATAATTGGTATAAAAGCTTCTATCTTATCAACTAAACTATTCATTTGTCATAAAAGTCAATAATTTTATCATATGGTTTTCATTGAAATTATTTATTATTATTTAAATATATTTTTAGTTTTTAAACTTAAATTTAAAATTAAAATTTGTATGTGTTTAAAACTTTAATTCAAATAATCTCTAAAATTTAAAAATAAGTTAGTATTACTAGTATTATTGTTATTATTATACTGTGAAATTAAATATATATTAGAATGAAACGTTCAAATGACTAAACCTCAAATGTTCAAAGAATTAAAAATACAATAAAATGTAAGAACAAAGTTAACCATTGAAAGACAAATCTATGCCAATAGAAAAATAAATTTACAATACTTTGCTCATATAGATAGACAAAAGTAAGAGATAAAATATAAAATGTTCTATAACAAGTTTGATAATCTCACTCCAAGTTTGATTTTGAATCGTACGATAAATTTAGTTGGATATAAAATTTCACAATTTTAAGAAAATAATTTTTATTGAATTAAAATTACTTTTAATTAAATTGATTTATTTTAAAATATTTTATTTAGATAAGATAGTTAAATTTATTATATTTTAGTTTTTATTTAGATATAATATAGTGATTAAGCAAAAAATACAAATATATTTTAATATTAAATAATATTTAACAATTTAAAATATAAGTTAATGTTGTTAAAACTATTTTTGACTAAAATATTGTCAACTTTATTTAAATGGTGTCAAGAATTTTTGTTCTCAATTGAAGAGCTGCATTTGGTGAAAGCTTCATAAACACACTCTCCACGTTTTTCTTCCTTACCTTTCTTCTTAAATTCCCTAATCTTCATGCATGCTGATTAGTAGTAAATCCTTATTCATCTTCTTTATCCTATTTTGCAGTATCCCTTAAGTCATTGTTTCGTTTCCAACTGAACCATATCCCTTGAGACACATTTTGAGAAAAAGAAGATGAACTAATGTAACATCTATTTCCATGCATGTAGCGAGATGAATGGATGGTTTGCATGCTATTCAAGAAGATTCGTAGTGTAAAAAAGTTCCCTTCTTCCAACCATGCAATAACCATCTTTAATATCCTCTTCTTTCAACAAAAAAATTGTAATCAGACTATGAAACCCACGTTTTTAAAACGAGATGGATCAATTCGAATCATATTTTATGATCCAAATGCGAATCAAACCTAAACACCTAAACAAGCGAATCGAGCCACATTGTCATCTCTAATTTGAACAAACTTTTTCATAAGCAATTATAAGAGAAAAAAGAACTTTTTGTAAGTTAATCTGTAAAATCCTCCGCATAATTTTTCTACATTTTCTTTTAAACTTCTAGATAAACTACTTTTACCTTTTAAAGATTCCACTCTATTTTTTTTTTCCAAAATAATATTTGTAAAAATTGATCCGAACAAATCCTTCCGTTTAACTAACTTAAAATACATGGACATTTTGACATTACTTTTAATGCATCATGAGGAATATGAATATACACCAAGTTAGACTTAAACAATAATGATATTTCTAATTAAAGATTCATAAACTTCAAGTTTAATAAGACATCAACATTAAAATATGTTGATTGTACTTTAAATAAGACATTCAATAATAAAAATGTTTGTTTTAATTTATAAAGATAAACTATAAATAAATCATTATTAAAATACGAACTTTATAAATGTTCCTGTAAGTTTTCTATTCTTTAGGAGATGACAACTTTTTTACCACTTGTTGACTTGGAAAATATTATTTTTTCATTTATCAAAAATGGATAATTTTTTAAAAAATTAAGAAAATGAATAAGTGATGCTGCAAACAAGATTCAACCATTAAACTATTCAAGCAAATTGCACCAAAAATAATATTAAAACTCTTTTCCAGTAAATGGATGACAAACTCGCTGAGAACATCTCAAACGCCTTCTGGAAGTGCTCTTCCAGTAATATCATAGCATGTTACATCAAAGCTCACAATTTACACTCTACTTCCTTCTCATACATGTGCCATTAAGCAATCCCACTTCCCGATCATCAAAGTGATAATGACTCTCTCAGAGATACACCTGTTTATTTAGTGAACTTGTTTCGACAGTACAATGCAGCAGTGCAAACAAGAACACCCCCAATAAGAAATGAAGACCTCCCTATTTGATGTAATAAACTGCCAATAGTGTAAGCCCATATCCATCGTGATAAAAAATGCAGGCCACAGGTATTTTTGAACTTCTGGATTGAAAAATCCTAAAGTAGATACATGTTCTGTCAGTTCCATGAAAGAATTACAGCCAATCTCACAAGTCATTATCCTCTGTTATTATAAAAGGGATAATTTGCATAGAGTTCCCGTTATCTAGGCTATTTCAACGCAAACAACGACTTGGAGGATAGAGTCTTTTTTTTTTTTTTCAAACAAATGCAATTGAAGTAACTGATCGGCAGTCACCCAGCCAATCAGTGCAGCTCTTCATGATTATAGTTTACCCACATTGTCAACAAATGTAACCAAACTGGAATTGTATGTTTCCAGAGAGAAATCCTGCACATTCTCACAAAATTGTCTAAGTTTCATTCAATGTGGAACACTTTTCAAATTATGTTTAACAATTTTCTCAAGACAAGTGGTAAAACTGCAATTCAATGAATTATGCACTATTCTGCCACCCAAACTAATCAATCACATAAGAACAAAAAAGTAAATATTGATATGCAAGAGGAAAGTAATTAATGCCAAAGTTAGAAGCAGTTAAATCTGATTTCCCTAACTAAAATCCAACATTCTAGAAAAACATTATCCACCATCACATCACATGCATATCAAACCTGTCACCCAGTCTCTTTGATTTTCTTTTGTAAGAAAGTTTTTTTGTTTCCAGAATATATTGTTAGGATCAGCTCAATGCTAGGAAGTATAGGGTATAATAGTAAACCAAACAAATGAAATGACTGACTTGCATTCTACCCTAATATAATGCAATACATTGTAATAAACAAATGCTATGCATTTTGAAAAACTTCAAGAGACTAATATGAACATAAATTCGCTGATGCATAAAAAAAGGGAAAATGTTCATTCGTTTTATAAAGAAAATTAGAAAGGAAAAAGGTGCAACGACATAGGAAAAGGCACATATGAGACGAGAATGTGTGAGCAAGAAAGAGAAAATAACTCCGAGCATGATATAGGAATATGCTCCCATTCCCCAGCTAATACTCTACGAAGTTGTGTACCAATTCAAATTTAATTTAATTTTTTATTTTGAAAAAACTCCAGTGTCATGTGTTCCTGTTAGTATTACTTTTTGATGTAGAGAAAAACAGCAGAGCACGGAAGCAACCTAATGGAGTTTTTTTTTTGTACAGCATAAGCTAATATTTTTATTCAATAAGACTCAATATGTATTCACACTTAAATAACAGAATAAAAGATCATGCTGCACAACGGGGCAGAGCTAAAATATTTCAAGTGGGGGTAGCTGAAGATATAAAATATTATCAATGAGGACTTTCTTTATCTTTTATGGTTGAAATTATGTTAACAATAACCATTTTATAAATTTAGAACCCTTATAATAATCCAATACATATGATCATATATACAATTTTTTATGTAAAATATTGATTAAAAAAAAGGAAATCAAACTTCATAATTACGTAGCCAATTACCCACAAATTTTACAAATTCAAACATGTTTGTTCATTTGTAAAAGTAATTTTTATTGGACTATCATCAACACAACTAGGAAAAATTTGCAAAGTGAACTACAATACTTATACATGTCAAGAAATGATCACCTCATAAAATTGATGTGTAAATATTAAGTAACATAAAGACGTTAGTGAGCTATTATTAGTTCATAGTTGTTTGCTACGAGCCCATAAATAAAGTAGGTTGTTGTATTCTAGATACTGAACCAATAGACTGAATTTAGACACATTGAAATGATAGTCAAATGCTGTGAATAGTTTCTTTGACCTTCTGTTTCTCTCATTTTCTCTCTATTCAGGTCTCCCTATTCTCCTCTTCTTGCCCTGTCTTTATGTTTCTTTCATCTTTCCCATCTAAATTCTATATCATAAAAATAGAGAGTTGAACTACAAATTAATTTAGTAGTCAAAAGTTTTGTATAACCATCAACTTTTTTTCTTAATGTAACTTTTTTATATTATAATTGTACTATCTCTAAAGTGCATTATATATAGATGTCACAATGGGTAACTCGGCTCGACTCAATCTGATTCACCACGGGTTGGTCACTTAGTGAGCCAACTCAACCCGACTCTTTTATTAACAAGCTGAAAAAAATTGAATCTAGCCCGACCCACCACAGGTTGGTGGTTAAACGGGTTGACTCACTGGTTCACTTAATTACAAATTTATTTTAAAATAAAAAAATTATAATTTTTTTTAATTCAAATCTAAATAAATTTTACTCTAAAATGATGTTAAACTCCAAAGACAATTCAAAATTAAAATATATATATATATATATATATATATATATATATATATATATATACACATACACACACATAAGAAGATAAAATTTTCAAAATTAATTATAAAATGAAGTAAATTGTGATAGAACTAACAATCTCATTTTTTAAATGAGAATTTCAAATAAAAATAACGAAATCTAAGAATTTTGGAGGGCCCGTGGCCCCTCATCAGACTACAAGTAGCTCCACCCCCTGCTTCGTGATTTTACTAACTGCTATTGATCGTGGAAAATAAACTCAAAAACCAACTTATCTTCTCTTGAAAAATAACACTTTTTATCTTGATTTATTCAAAATTAAAACCACTTTGAAAGTATCTAAAGGCATAATCTCAAAAATCACGGTCTTATTTGAGTAGTGCAATGATACTTCCAGAGAATGTACAAAAATACTCAGGGAAGAGACATCAAGGAGAGACGTAGAGCATGCAGTAAATATTAAAATGACAACAACTAAGCAAAAAAAGCTGACTAGGACTGCAATCCTAGGCAGACACAAAGGATCTTTCACCAACAGATACTAAATATTCTCAAATTAATACGAGTCATTATTACCTTTGGTAACTTGTGTTGTTGAGCTAGATGATCCACATGGAGCCTCACATTTGCTGATGCAGCAATCCAGGCACCACGATGAACATCAGAATACACATATTCTACAATGTCAAACAAAGTTTTTGCTCCTCCTTCAATTGCTTTCAGGATATTAGCTTCTCTACTTCTGCGGTTCCTGAAAATAATGATAACAATCCACCTAGTTGTCGACTCTGACATAAAATATCAACATTAAGCTATCTAGTAAGGGAAGGAAGTAACATATGATCACTACTTTAGATATCCACACAGCATCTGTTTTGGCCAGACATTAACTCTCCCATGCATTGGTATTAAAGCGTGTGGTGAAAGCTCCAGAAAATTGTATGTGGTTTGGAAGTACTCCTGCAAATGACAGCTTTATGTTGAGAAAAAGGACATCCAAAAAACAAAATATTATTAACTTCATTTTCTTTGTTATATCATCTCCAATGCAAGGGTCCTACTATGGTATTTTATTTAACTTTATGTGGGTCTCACTGTGTTACATCACTTTTAAGACCTTGCAATTTTTGCTTCAAAGCAAAGGTCTTACAAGGCCCACATTTTAATAATTTCTTATCTGACTTTAAGTTTTCAAAACTAAAATCACAAAATTGTATTCTTATGAACCCCGCAGTCTTATTTTCCACGTCACATCAGCATTTTCTAATAAGAATATCTTATAAGATCTAAAGCTTTAAACTTATGAACTTACTATTCTTGGGAAGCCTCTCAAAGTCTCTACATAAGCCTAGATGCCAATGTGCTCAGAACAACCTTAGGTGGGAGTTTCTAGTGGGAGGTTAGAGTTGGTTAAAGAAGAAGGAAATTTTTAAATACGTTAGAAAAAGGAGGAGGGAATAAGATGGGAGATCATATGGAGAATACAATTGATTTTTCTTAGCCTACAGAACTGATAATGACATATTTTACCATGAATTCAGTAATAAATTAAGAGAAAATGTCAACCCTTCCTTAACTTTTTACCTTGTAAATCCTAGTTTTCTTTTAGTTGTTAAGTGGTTGTACCTTAGGCTCTAATGAGATATTTTGATCACTAATCCATGCTTTTATGTGCTTAAAGTAGTTGGAAGAAGTCTATGCATCAAATGAAGGCACTGGAAACCAAGGAAAGCAAGAAAAACAACAAAAATAAAGAACCAGAATTCTGCTGAAGCTAGCTCGGGCCCCCCCTGGTCTATGGGGGCTTGAGCGCCAGTGCATCAGGACTGTCGTGCGCCTGAGCCCCCTCCTTCTGGGGGCTGGAGCGCCAACTTTGCTGACATGGCAGATTTTCCCTATTTAACTCAGAGGCGCGAAGAGCTTGACATCTTTTGACACCCAGACGCGTTTTCTCTCATTTGAAGCTCTTGGAGGCGAGCTAGGAGCTGTGGGAACAGTCTATCTTCTTCCTTGGGTCTTCTTCCTTCTTCCATTTCCACCATTGTTGTAAACTCAAGCTCTCCATTCATGGAGAGCTAGTTTCATTGATGTTGGGGGATTGATGTAGCCACTAAACTCTTATGTAAACTACTGTGTTTTGAATGAATATATGCCTCTTTCATTGATTGTTAGTGTTTAATTCATTTTCTTAATGCTTGTTGTGAAGTTGCTACCCATGACATGATTTTAGGGTTTGCTTGATATTGGGAAATGTTGGGTAAATCTGGACTTGGATTAAACACCTAAAGGAAATAGTATCTAGGGATAGAACTAGGACCTTTGGTTGTCTTAAAGCTCAATTCTTAATGCGGAAATAATTGTTAGGTCTTCCAAGGGATTGGAGCCTAATAAAGAAGTCTAGGCTCTCTCTATCAAGGGATTGGGTTTGAGTAATTTAGTAGATTGACATTGGCATATTAATGAAGAGGAAGTGATTTTCTATACATAAGAGTAAAGTAGGTGAAATCATACCCCCAACAATACCATTCCATATCATTTCAAATCTTTCCATTTCCAAGTGTTTGAGTATCAAAGATCACTTTTATCATTTATGTTGCATGTTTACTTTAATTGCACTAAAACCCAAATTATGAAGCATTCTTTAGTCTAAGTTAGTTGGAAATTATAAGATTGTGTGGTGACACAAGTCTCTTGGGAAACGATATCCGGTCTTACCGGTTTTATTACTTGAAACGATTTGGTACACTTGCCAAAGTCTCAACAAGAACTCTCTAGCTTCTGCACCTATTTTCCAGCATTTCCATCTTAACCAATTCCTACTAATACGAATTCTGATTAGAATGGTCAACAACTAGATGTCCTAGAGACGTGTTGTCCACTAATAGTTCAAGTTTGAGAAACCAAGTATTGCTCATGGGACGAGATCAACCAGTGCACTCACATAACATAACACTGAAAGAACATACAACCCAACCGATTGATGACTAGCGTAACTAAGATCAAGCCCTAATTTTACACGCTGAAGTGCAAGATGGATTCCTGCTGCAGCACCAACAAATATCATTCTCTAGTTTGATATCACAGGGATCACCAAAAGCAGTACCAGACTCCATTCCCACTTTGTCAAATAAGTTCCACTGTTTTGCAAAGTGGAAAAATGTTTCCTTCTTCTGAAGGTGAAGATGCAATGGGGTGCATCACGAAGACAGAAATATTTCCCAATGCATGGAACACTTCCAAAGATGTAACTATAGTTTACACATATCTAAAAGGGAGGGGAGGGATTTTAATGGAATTTTAATACGACATTATGTCTGGTTGAGAGGGGGAAAGGAGGATTTCAATGGAAGGGAGGGAAAGTAACCTTTTCTTGTTTGGTTCACAAGGAGAGAAGAGGGATCTTAAAACTTAATTTACTTTAATATCATTATAATTTTGAAGTTCAACATATAAATAGTGTTATTTTGGTCAATACACTTTAAATGTTATAAATCATCTCCCCTCCTCTCTAAATTCCCCCTATATCAGAAATGCAGACTAATGGATCTTACTCCAAGTCTTCAACATTCTTATAAGAGAATCTCAATCTACAATTTAAACTATATAATATATATTTCCAATATGACGACATTTTGCACTTACAGACATATTTCCACCAGCTCTTGCATCCAAGACAGCACTTCCCTTACTGAAACAAAGTAAATTATTAAACTAACAGAGTCATGATCAAAAGAACTTAAATATAAAGTAGGTAATTGAAATAATTGTAACTGCAGAGAGGAAATGAGATGGCTTCAACATTGGATAAAATAACACAAATTCAGCATGCCAAACCATTTCTTTGTCTGCATTAGAACTAAGTAGACATATATTCTGTCATCAATTCTTGACAAGAGGATTTTGGTGAAGGTAACTCTAGCAGATTGATTCTCCTAAATCCTTCATGTCTTTATTCAATTCACTAAATAGAAAGAAAAGAGTAAAGTTTGAAAGTAGAAAATTTACTCTTTATTGACTTCTAGACAGCTAATGAGCTAACTTCAACCATCTCATAACTCAGAAAGTTCACCAGCTTGTGTAACATGCAATATTTGTTTAACTTTTTATCAAATAAAAATGTAAGTAATAATTAGAAAAAATACTGCACAGACAACCCCATGCACTTCAAAAAAAGCATCGGGACTCTAAGTAAAATAGTTTACTACAATTTTAAGTATCTACAAAACAGAAGCCCAAAGCCCAACTAAGAAATTATTCCTAATGACAAACATTCAAATGTAATGAAAGTTTCAAAACCATTCAAATATGTGTAAAAACATGAAACATGAAATTTGAAAGTGCATCGATTCCATCCATGATATTTAAACTTTACTATCTATTATCTAGCACGGAATCTTACCCCAGACAATGATCACCAACAACCAAGGAATGAGAATTTGCATGAAGAAGTGCCATATGGCCATCTGTATGTCCCTGAACCGAACATAATTTTCAAATTTTGCAGAAAACAAAAGCAACTTTATGGAGAACAAATACGTTCTCACCATACTTATGACTTCAATACAAACTCCGTTAAGAATTAAAGTAAGACTTAATTAAAATTGAGATAATTTTTTTCTTTTTATTTTTGTTGAAAACTGCTACCAGAAGATACTCAAAAGGTTTTTCAATTACAACTTCAAGACACTCTTAAAGGCAAAAACAAATGATTCTAAAGGAGGGAAAAAGCACAAGTTCACTATTTGAAGAAATTATATGTTGTAAATAGGGGATTATTAGGATAAAAATATCCTAATGTCTCCATGGTAATTAGGAAAAAATATCCTTAAAATCTTCATATGTATTCCATTAGATTTTATAAATACAGGAGTTGAGAATGTAATTAGTATAATTGTTATTAATTACATATTTCTTAAATCCCCTAATTATTCAAGTTGGTATGTCAGAGCTCTTGATTGATGAGTTACTAGACAGGTATAAAGCTACATTTGTTGGAAGGGGATACACTCAAAGTTATGGAAATGACTATGAGGAGACATTTGTCCAACTAGCAAAGGTGAATATTGTTCGAGTTGTTCTTGCTTTGACAACTCATTTTTGTTGGACTTGTACCAGTTGGATACGAAGAATATCTTTATTCATGAACCTTTAGAAGAAGTGTACATAAAGATTCCTCCAAGATTTTAAACTCATAATGAAAGGAATAAGGTATGACTTCTAAAGAACGTCTTATAAGTTACATGGTCTTTAATAATCTCCAAAAGCAAGGTTTGGGAGATCTACAAAAACAATGGTTTCTTTAAGTTATAAGCAAAGCCAAACATATAATATTCTATTCATAAAACACTCTATTACAAGTAAACTTACTATATTAAAGGCCTAATTTGAAATGAAAAAACTGAAAAAATTAAATATTTCCTTGGGATAGAGGTGGTTTATTAAAAAAAACAGAAAATATACACTTGATCTCCTATTGAACATATTGGGAGTAAAGAGAGTTCTCATGTCGAAAAGACCTAATATAAAAAATTGGTAGGAAAACTTATTTATTTATCATACATGAGACCAGACTTTGCTTATGCCGATAGTGTAGTAAGTCAGTTTATGCATGATCTGAGAGAAAGACGCATGCAAACAATTGATAAAACTCTTTAAAGTCAAGTTTATTAATCAGCATGAATAAACTTTAAACTCTTTAAAGTTAAAAATTGAAGAGTTGAGAATTTAATCAGCATGACTGTATTAATAATATATTTCTTTATTACCTTTCATTATTCAAGTTTATCTTCCTATATGCTTAACTGCTCAAATATATCCTTGAATTATCTCATACAAATCTTTTAAAATACTGGATGTGTCATAGATAAGATCAAAACAAGATATTTCAAGCTAACTAGGATTATGAAGGTGAAAAATACCGGTGCATAAATCACTCTCAATCTATGACCACCAATGACAATGTCTTCATCCCCTGTAACTGAGGTATAGCCAAGGGACCAATCATCTGTCATCATGAAATATAAGTTTAATAGAACTGTATATCAGTAGTCATATACACATATATGAATAACAAATTTAATTGTGAATTGACTCCAATATGCAACAGAAGAATGTCTATAGCACTGTCCTCAAAATATGCATGAAAATGATAGAAAAATTCGGAGAAAGATAACTCACTTCCAGTCAATCTGCAACCATAATTTAGAAGCATACTGATATATTTGTAAGGAAAGTATCAAACCAAAACTGATAAGATGTTGAAATCCTTTGAAAACAAGTGCTGTGTACATTTAGAAATTAGCTCAAATCAGGTGTAAATAGAATATTAGTGGATTGATTCAAATTTAGTTTTAATGATTCGGATTGACTATTTAGCACTCATTAGAGTTTTTGAGGGGAAAATTCTATTATTCTATGCAATGGAAGTTGGGAATGAAATGAATTAAATTTATGTGTGCCACGTTCCAAACGTATTTTAAATGAGTTGCAAATATTATTTCTAAATGACTTGAGAATTGGTTTCTTAATCAAATCAAATCCATTTTTAATGATTCCAAACTAACTGTTTGTATTCTGATCCTTGGGGTCTAATTGTAAGAAAATAAGATTAAAGACACCAAAAATATTGCAATCAGCTGTACTGCTTCTGCTCTGTTGTCCTGAAATTTCACTAACTTTATCAAGACCCTGATTACATAAAACTACACCAAGTATATCCTTTAGCATCTCTCACCTAACATAAAAATAGCAACAAAAACAATTATCATGAATCACAAGTACTAATCAAGTTAATACCAAAATTTTGGGTTTTGAACCTTTAATGTGACCATTTTAAAGTTCATACAAAGTCATTATTGATAAGCTTTTGCTCAAAACCCAGATTTTTATGAAATCTCAACACAAATACAGAATATATCTTGCATCACCATGGATGTGTGTAATTTAGTTCCCAGTTGTGTAAATTTATTTTATCTGTTATAGTTTTAAACAATTGAGTTAGGCATTTTTTGGAAAAATTTCCCCACAGGCCCTTTAGGAACAGAAAAAACAAAGCCTTGTGTTTTTTCTTCCATAAATCAAACTAAACTTATGTACATGAGCTTTTGGAGAACTTAAAAGAAAGTGTGTCTATAAAAGTTTAGGGCATAGTTGATTTTTTAACTAGTAGGAGAAGCTTAATCCACTTTACCTCCTTATTTTCTTTTCCTGTAAGTGCTTCAGAAAAATTTATCCAAATATGGCCTTAATGTAAAACTAGAAAAATACAAGTTTGCAAGCTGTACGCATTTAACATTATTGAAATGAAAATAACAACATAACCTCTGCTTATGCGATGAATGGTCTTTTCATGGGCTAACAAAATAGCATCAGGATTGCACTTCTGGATAACTGAGAGACCTGTCAGAAAGGGTGAAAAAATATATTTGAAATGTAAGTTTCTGAAATACAAGAAGAGTATGTCCATTACAGTCAATATCATACCAGAAAAGAGGAAGAAGTAATGATTTTTACATGGTGAATTCTAGTGCAGAACTAACAATTATATGATTATATCTTTTGCTGCTTCTCACTTAGCTTTAAGGTCTAAAAATGTACAAATGACTATTTATCATTGCTACTTCACCATACCAACCATACTGGTCGCATAATCTACCTTAAAAAGCAGAACTTAATAAAGTTAAATAAAGACTCACCATCTACATGATCATGATGATGATGAGTGACAAAGACCACTAGTCGTCTTGGCAAAGCATTGACAACTTTCTCTAGCTGATCATTACAGAATGACATGTTAAGATTTAATTGATGAAGAGACCAACTTCCGAAAGCAAAAATAAGAAATCATCCCATAATAGAAGGTATATATCGAGGAGAGGAATGAAGCATCAAACGTATATCTCCATGTAAATTCCTCAAAAATCACATGACTTGCACCAGAGTAGAAAAAGTTCAAGTCATTACACTCAAACAAATTACTTACTTCTGCTTTTGCATAAGTAACATCAAACTAATTCAGAAATAGTTAACTCAGTATGATCAAGTATAAACTGAAATGCGCACACCATGAATATGGAATTGAAAACTGGATAAAAGATGAATCCAAGGCCACATGCATGGACTACATGCACAAGCTGGAGGAAATGAGAAAGTATACCTCTACATGGAATTCAGATAGGCATCCTGGATCAACTATGAGTGCATCTCCACTTGCAACAAAATTATTTTCTTCAGAGTTATTTGGAACATTTTCAGGTGCAAACACCACCAAATTTGTTGTGTTAAAAGGCTTTAATGTCCTACTTCTCATAGGTATAATGATAACACCAGGTGGGTACTCCTGAAAATGAAAACAAACTTCATTTTTCACCAGATTATAAAATAATGACATTGAAGGATAAAAAACCAGCTTCCTTTTTCTCCTTTCTATGTACAGAGATATCCAGATACACCTATGTTCTTGGACTACAAAGTTTTGACTTGCTGAAAATTAACCGTCTGTGTTACTCAATTGGAGAATGCTTTTGTCCTTTTAACCCGTAAGCACTTAACAAAGTGAATCAGCAGATTTGCCAGTGAAGATATAGAAGGGCAGTGAAAATCTAGTAAACAAAACATATGCTAAATCTCAATGATAGAGCCTTGCCTCAACACAAAAAAACAAATCCAAAAAGTAATGTTTAGAGTGGGGTCGGGGGTGTGTTATTGATACATTACTAACAAGCCATGACAGCAGTTGGAAAATTATTGCTCCCTGAGATTTGATTTAACAAAATCTTTCAAAATAGCCACTGAAAACAAGTGGTTTTATAGTTTACTTAAATTCTTGCCCTAATTTAAAGGAGTAAAGCTTCTCCAGTATCAGAGCTTCCAGATTTATTTAGAAGTTGTAATTCTCAATATCCAATAATAATATACGCTCCCACCAAGGAAAGGGAGGAAATTTAAAGAAAGAAAACCTGATGGTTTATGGATGGTGGGACTTTCCACTTTGTAGAGAAAGATGATTCGTTTATAAGACCAAGAACAACCAATGGTCCAACCCGATCTCCACATGGTTTCAATTCCTGAATCCAGTTAACACAGCTTTGGATAGACATCCATCTGTATGAATCTGAATAGATTTATAAATATCTAAAATTAATAAAAAAGAATATTGATAAAATTGAAATTTAAAAATGAACAAAACAAGATAGATTAATGGTGCTTTAAAGCATACATTTGCATTAAAGAACGGGTTGTGATTCATTCAAACTAGCTAGATTACTCACAAAAAGTATACAACGGGAAATAACTCAGAGAAAACATTTGCTCCATGATGGAATTATAGTTTTATACAAACAAGTGGGGAGAATGAAAGTTGCTTCTATCAACATTTTTTATCACTGACACTTGTTTTTTAATTAAGTGGTACTCAAACATCAATTCCTAAAAATGATTTCATGGAATAAATCACAAAGATTATATATGTTATGCATGTTTAATGATTGGAACAGTATAAAAACCAAAAGGATGATAGTTATATATAATAATGGAATGTCATAGATGAGGCTATTTTATGAACAAGAGGTTGGAGTGTGGGATCCTTGGTGAGTATTGTCTTTGTTTCGCATGAGGTAATAAATAAGTGGCAAACTCTCACCAATGAAGTCCTTTATTGGATCAAGGTTTAAGTCAAAGAACAACAAGTATTTGTAATACAGGACTATCAATTGTACCAAAAAGTAACAGTTCTAACTTACAGAAAAAAACTCTTTCTACGTATATTAGCACTCTTTTACTTTTAATTACTGAGACTATAGATACATTACTTTAAAAGTATCTAAGTGTGTCCGTGTCAAATATGTCATCGACACAGATCCATTGGCATGATGAAAGCATCAGTGCATAACAACATTTGTTTAGCAGAAGCCACTTCCACTTTTGTTCACCAGGGCATAATTTCTAATTTTGGTCATATCTTTAATTGATGTGAAATCTCTTTCTTTATCTCTAGTCAATGTGAGACTTGAGTTTCTTCCCGTAATTCTCAATTTATTAGAGTAAAAATTTCAAAATATTTGACACGAAAACAATCAGGAAAATGATTAATTGTAATCTAATGATGGAATAACAAACATCACATACTATCTAAAGTTATTGATGAGTAAGAATTGATGAAATTTGTCCTCCCTCTTTATTTATCTGCATAGAAACCTCAGGTCATTTCAAATAGAGTTAGATTTGAAGCTGAGTGTTCATATTAGCATCATCTCTAACCTCATGCGTATGTAAGCATATAACCAGTAAATAAACTATCCTGCTTTGGAAAATTGTTTCATATGCAAAGAATCAAAAACTTTTAGCAACGCATCCAAAATCCAAATGAAAGAGGAAGTTAACCTTTCACAAATACCAAACAAAGTAACACAGAACAGACACAAACACCCTTCAGCTTTCCAAGTTCTGTTCAAAAGAAAAAAATTGCATATTTTCTTACAGAAAAGTTTCTCAACGGTCTAATTTAACAAAAGTGGGGGACTAAAATGTAGTCTATGTCAACAGTTGTTGGTCATAGCTTTGAATCCAGAAACAGCTTCTTTGCATAGGCAAATATAAGGCTGCCTACAATGAGCATCTCTCACACCTTCACATAGCGAGGAGCCTTAAGGTACGAATTCACGTTAGTTTTTAATCTGATTTAAGCAAAGCAGAGCAACAGAAACAAACTGAAGAGAGATAAACAAACAAGCATCGTCATCTTGAGGCAGTCCAAGGTATGGGCACAGATAAAATTCAATATAATTGCACAACAAATTTATAGCACACGACTCAATTCATACATCACCCAAAATAAACAATTTTAGTAATAATGATGATGATGAGAAGTGCAAAAGACAAACACGAGAACAAGCAAACCTATAGAGTTTTTGTCCTCAGCCGCTACCAATTTCCCAGCAATGAAGACTGTGTTAACGGGTAAATCAGGTCCAAAGGCAGCTTCCTTTACATACTTAAGGAACTTCCAACCTCCTCCTTCAACCGCCCCATGCCCTATTTGTCCAAACACCTAATCGGAATATCGTTTCACACAAATTCGTCACCACCAAAGCATAAAGACGCGATACATCCAAAATTTACGAACACTACCTCGTTGAGTGCCGAACGGATATCGAATTTCCTCAAATCGATGTCCTCGAATTCGGCATGCGAGGGAGCAACTTGCACCACAAGCGGTGGGTCTGAATCTGGTGGCAGCAGGTTTAACTGCGCCGAGGGCAAGTCCCAGAGATCGGAATCGACGAAAGAGTCGTATTCTTCGTCGTGGAATTTGGGAGGGCGCGGCTGCTTCAGAAGCAGAAATTCATCGCCCTTTGAAGGACTTTCGATTACGAGAGCAAGTCTGTGAGCTGCCATTGCCAAAGCAACTGTGAATGAATTGAGAGAGTGAAGTGAAGTTCCTACTTCAAACTAAGCCATCTTATTATTTCCAAAATAAACAGACGTTGAAGCAAACTTCAGCAGAAAAGTGTATAATGAACATTTATGGGCCACCCCTAGTGGGTGCAAAATTGAAGTTACCGTGAGTCAGTTGAGTGCAGTAGGTGAGTTCAAAACTTCACATGAATTGATTTTTTATACGTAAAACATTACGTGATCACAGACTAAAACCTTTGGACAATACTCCTCTTCAACCCAATCAAAAGTTTGAAGCATTGTTGCATGTGTTTTTCCAAATGCATATACAACATTATAGGAAAAAATATATCCATTAATTAATAGACATGGTTTAGTAATTTTTATCTGTCCAGATGGTAAGAAAGTCAGATCAAAAAAGGTTGTTTGAATTTTATCGAAGCATGTAAAAAGTCTTAGTAGGAGGCTGAAAACATAAGAAAGAATAAATAAGAAAGAAGAGCTGAAAATGTACATATCTTTTTTTAATCCCAGTTTAGTTAAATTCAAATTAATTTCTTGAGTAAAATTCAAACACTAATTCTCCTACGAATGCTATTAAGCATAGGGCGAAAGCAGAGGAATTTGTACGTGGTTTGGAAAATGACAATGATGTTGTGCAAAAAGACATCTAAAACCATATTATTAACATTATATTTCTTTGTTGGTGTGCGCACCATTAAGAAGCCTCTCAAAGTCTATACACGTAACCCCAACCTAAATGGCTTAGAGTATATTATTTAAAAAACATTATTTTTTGCTTTCTCTCTTCGTTATCTTACTCGAAGAGTTAAAAGTATATTATTATTTTTTACCCATTTGATTAAAAAGAAAATGAAGGATATATGTGCTTATTTTAAAGAGTGAAATAAATTCAACACCCTTTTCCCAAAATTTATAACCACAAAAAAAAAATGCTAAACTTATTGATTTGAATTGCTAATTTTACATGGTACAGAAAACCTTCATCAACTTATAATAAAGTTGATAATTCTTTATATATATATATATATATATATATATATATATATATATATATGGATATAGATAGATATCGATATACTTTACTAAAATAAAGTAGTTTAGGCTCCTTATTATATTTTAGTTTGTTTTATCTAGTAATCAAAAATGTGTTTAGACCATAAATGTAAATAGATTTACGAAGTTCAACAAAGACAAACGAGATAAAAAAAAATTGACTTTTAATCTTTCTAAAATGTTTGAACAGTGACTTTTGGTCCTATGAAATTTGGATGGTTAATTTTTTGTCACTTAAAATGAAATGAATTCTTTTAATAAATGTGTCCATATAAGGATTCACTATTAGGAGTTATCTTGTCACTTTACCGACCATTCAATTTTAAGTAGAGAATGGTAATGTAGGTGGTAAAAGGTGCAAGAAATTATAGTCTAAGGGTTTTACCTTAACCAAAGATGTCATGGACCAATCTCATGAGTGGTATGTTGAAACTCACAATGACTCTACAAAGCAATAGAGTATATCATAAGTGCATAATTTGTCAAAGTCTAATATTAATACATGTATATGAATAAATTGAGTTCGATTTTATGTATGAAAGTTGTGCGATAAAATTTAACATGTCATTAGATATTTGTACTATTTTATATTTTTAGTTGTTTTATCTTGTGTGTATTTAAACAATTTAATTGTTTATAAATTTTTTTTAACACATTGGTTGATCCTGTTGTTTTATTTGGTATTTCTTGTGTGTTTGTTTATCTCTATTATGATTATTACCTTATTGATGTGAACAAATAAATAATAAGTGTTGAACTTGTTGGATGATGATAGTCTATGATGTTTTTTCTTGGGCTTAATAATTTTTGTTAATTGTTTTAAATATATTTTATTATTACTATTAATTTTTTAGATAATTATATTAATATTATATATCAAACAATTTTATTTATCAATCTTATAATGTTTTATTTTATCAATTGCAAGATTAAAATTAAACGTTGTGTAAAGTATATTTTATCAATCTTATAATGTTTTATTCTTAAATATAAAATATATTCTTTTTGCAATATATATATATATATATATATATATATATATATATATATAATAGTGTATACTAGATTTATTTATTATAAAAATTCTTAAATTTATATAATTTGAATACTCATACAAACTTAAGCTATTGTTAATTTTTATTTGGATTGAGAAATGAATTTGTTAACAAAAAATAAATAAATACATACTTAGTCTTGATCATAACCAAAATGCTTAACAAAAATAAATATATATCGATGAACTTGATTAATTTAATTGATAAAAATACGAAATATTAAGTTAATACACGTGCCAAATATTGTTCTATATAACATTATTTATTAATTTTACGCATTTATTAAAAATCAAACAAAATACTTTTAGGGACTAAACAGTAAAATATCAATCTAAAATATATTTTACCTTAATTTCTTTATACATTTAAGTTTATTTATCGCAAAAATCACTTATTTAATGAAGTTAATCGGTGTTCTACCTCTTACTAATTTTTATTTATTTTTCTCAAAGTTTTTTTTGTCTTTTTATTTAGTTCCATTTTTCTTTCATACCTCATTTTTATAGTAGTTTTAACACATTTTATTACAATTGAGGAATTAAGAATCAACTTTAATCAATCCGGCTTTTAAATAGAGTATTTTTTTTTTTTACTTTATAATTTGTTTTTCTTTTATTTTATTTTTGATAATTTTATCATCAATATTAGTACGAGAAAGGATATTCTCTTAACTTAAAATTCTGTTATTGAATATCATGCACTAAATCCCCAAATTTCAGAATAATATTATTACTCTGAAGATAAACATTTAAAGTGATAAAAGCTAAATTAATTATAATAGCATTGTAGGATAGATTATGTGGTTGCAATAATGATAAATGGCTAACAAATATTGATTATAAAGGTACGATTGTTTATTGAAATCCATATTTGACTCGTGTATTCTATGTCGAGTATTTTGAATAGTTTAATTTTTTATTATTTAAGCCAATTTTGATTATCAAATTTGTTCATTTATTTTTTTTGAATTATTAAAATTTATTGAACGAAATTAATTTTTGTGAAAAATTCGAAAGTTAAAAAAAAATTGGTCGTTAGATGCTTAATTTGGTGAACAAACTAAATGCTAACCTAAATTTTAGGATTTTATAGTTCGAGAATAAAATAAAATCATTTAATTTATAAAAAATAAATATAAATTTATTTTGAATGGACTAGCAAAGAATTACCTATATCTAAAATATATATATATAATTTGCCCGTAATATTTTTATAACAAGTCTAATATATTACACGTGAAAAAAATAAATCCAGCCACACGAGTTTAAAAAACCGGTAAATGAAAACTTGCGGGATGTAATTGGGTCAAACGTTAACCCTTGAGTATTCCTAATTCCCAATTAAACTAAAAAATGAAATAAAATAAAATAAAAAGAAAGAACTTGTCTTGAAGCGGCACGTATCACACAGAAGCCATACCTACGAGACTCAATCGAGCTTCTTTCTCTTCCTGCAAATTCAAAATCCAATCCCAATCTTTTTCTTTGGCTTCGTTTTCTTCATTTCAAATTGACCTCGCTCTTGGTTTCGCTTAGATCCCAAATCCTACCTCGCAATTTTTCTGCTTTTTCCCATTCCGAGGAAAGAAGCCAACTCACGACCGATCCAATGCCGCTTTGAATCGCGTGCCGTTTTCCTTCGTTGGGAACATCTTATTGCTTTTGAATTCAAATCTTGGGGCAGCTGGGTCGATGAGTAACATGCCACACTGTTTCTGAAACACAAAGGTCGTTTTTGTTGCCTTTGGAGCTGCACGGTGTTTGAAGAGAAAGGGAGAGAAGGGGTAGTGAATGGGAATGGGTTCAAAAATGGAAGGACCGTCTACCCCAGCCAATCGACGTGACCCATACGAGGTATTGTCCGTGTCAAGGGATTCAACCGATCAAGAAATTAAAACGGCGTACAGAAAGCTTGCTCTTAAGTACGTTTCTGTCTTGTCTTTTGATTTTTTAATTCCCCTTTTGATTTTGTGCATGTTTAGTATAGTTTGAAACTTCCATGTGGGTACTGCACATGTCGTTCTGTCTGTTTGGGAAGTTGCTGTCTTTGTTTGCTTCAAGTGTGTTAGGTTTTCTTGTTTTGTTTTTAAGTGATTTTTTTTCTATGCAAATGGAGTAGTGTCCATCTTGTTGGATTTCGGATATTTCTTTTCAATGAGAAAGAGGGTTTCTCTGAATTTTTTCTTATGTAAAACGCGGGCGTGTCTTCTTAAGTGAGATAGCTCATTGAAGAACATTTGAGGGTGATAAACATTCTTATATAATCTGTAGTAGTAATAACTTCTCATGTTACAAATGGCACTGAATCAAAGAAGGGGACTAGGGCGCGGAGATCTGGGAGGAGGATTAAATCTGGTAAGTACAGAACTTATTTGGAGTTTCACCTTAGTTATCTACTTAGTAAACGTTTGCATTAGGGTTTTAAATGCTGTTCTGTAGCAGCATAGCGTAAGATGGCCACTACAGGGGCCTCTGCCGAGTTGTTTAGTTTGGTGGCGGTAACTGACCAAATAATGGGCCGAATAGCGGCTTGGATGACTGTGCTATGAGTTGTTTCCAGAAACCTCTGAAAAGTGACTATAGGGCTTTTCTCGAGGGCCGTTTTTGGGGTTTCAATTCCAAAAGGGAAATTTACTTCTGTAATGGTGGCAAAATGATATATAAATGTTGGATTTATAAGATGATGATTCCTATGTAGGAAACTCTTATGTAACTTTTTGTTGATATTTGCTTGTATGTTTTTGTTTAAGACATATCAATGGCTTTCTATTGAATATTGTGAACATCATATATTGAGTAACTTCTATCATTTTTTAGAATGTGTATGTACGTAGTATATGTTATATAAAATATATAAAACTTTCTAAATAACAGCTATCCAGCTACATTGTTTTTGAGGTTGGACACTTGGGATTCAAAACAGAGTTTGCATTACAGATAAAAATAGATTCGAAACTCTATTTCTCATTGTAGAATAACATCAAAAGCATCTATTTAAGTTTTGTCCATAATTCAGAACATATACAAGTACTG